ACTTACACACACACTTACTGATGACACACTCACTGCCAAACAGACACAGAAACACACTTAGACACACACTCATTGCCAGACACAGACAGCCATACAGACACACACACAAACACTCACTGATAAACAGATACACACACATTCTCTCTCACACTCATAAATTATAGTTCATTTTTATTTTAATTTAAGTCCACCAGGCCCTACCTTTGGGAGAACTGGAGTGGATCCATTTACGGTGGTCCAGTGTAATTGCTGAAATCTTCAAGTTCTTTTTTTTCTGCAATCTTGCGCACCATTTAGTGATGCCGGGGCTGGAGTGATGTCATATCCCGGGACCTGGCATCACAGAAGGGCATGCGAGGGAGCCGAACAAGAAGATCCTGAAGATTTCAGCTCCACTCTTGCTCAGTCTGCTGCCTCCTCTGTCCCTCCAGCCAGCCGCCAACAATATTAGCTAATGCAAATTCTGTGCTTAGCATGCTGCTCATATGCAACCAATGGTGGCCTGACCACCCCCTCCATTCTGCCCAAGTGCTAACATTCTGAAGTCAGTAGAGCGTCAAGCTTTAGGGGGGACTTGGCCTTGATGTGGAAACAGATATGATTTTGCTTTATTTCTTTTTCATTTTTTTTTTTATGTGGGAACCATGAAAGCAAGTGTTTTTGGTTGCAGTAACTCTTTAAAAAAAAATACTGCATATACAACAGTAAACAAAAAACTTTAGGTACCATAACAACTTCAGCTAAACTAAGTTGTTATGGTTTCAAGAGGTTCCCGGGCACTTTTCTTACCTGAAGGGGTTAAACTATTTCTTAAACTCAAAGGTTGCTTCCAGTACCAGATCTCAATTCCCCCAGTGGTATATGGAAGCATGGCTTAAAGCCAGGTAAGGGTTCAGCTGATTGGCTACAGCAATCAGCTTATGCTCTAAACTAAACAGTAGTTCACCATTCATAAAAATAAATGTATTTGAAAAAAGTGATTTGAACCTGGGTTTCCTAGTTCCTAGGCAGCGATGTTACCACGAGAAGTCTTGCAAAAGGTTACTTAAGTAAAATCCTTACAAAATATTCTATAAATATTTTAGAGCCTCAATTTAAAGGAGTTTGAAACTACCATTATGCATGCTTATATTCAACGGTCTAACAATATTTTGAAATACCACTATGCCAAAGGGCATTGCATCCTCATTCCATTTAGGTTAATTTTCTTAAACTTTAGTCTCCTTCTCCAGTAAGAGCATTGCTGTGAGCATACATAATCTTCTGACAGGCTTAGGGAATTGAGCAATACGTTTGGCAAGGGATTTGGCAATGTGAGGGTGTTCTTACAGAACATCTCCTTAAATTAGGAGAGGATGACTGGAACAGCATGACCACATTCATAAGATCTAGTTGCATGGATGACTAAGTAGGGCAGTTAGACTTCACCACATGAGAGTTGTGGATTAAGGTGGTGTATTACAGTTCCAGATAAAAAAAGAAAAACACATTTTACAGAAATTGCAAGGATATAAAAAGCAGCTTTTGAAGGGCAGTTTCATAGTACTATAACCACTTCATTAAAAAATTTTGTCACTGCTCTGATGGGTGGGATTAGTCTGATATGTGACAATCTAAGGGTCTCAAAAACTAAAACCTGTAGACCTGAGCGGTGATTTACCAAGCTATTTGAGCCGTTTTTTCAGTATTCTCATAAACTCTTGTTCTTGACTGATTTGCATATTATTCGGGCCTCCCTTAGTCTAAAGTGTAATCCATATGTGAACCCTTTGCTCAGTTTCCTAGGGAGATAACAGCAAAATCTCATTCAGACCCAATAAAGGCCAACATAATTGTCTAGCGTTGTATTTCTCATGCAGAGAGAACCTGGCAGGATTCAAGATCTGGACTGCTTTTGTGGATGTGATCAGTCTGATATGTAAAAAAGCTAAGGTTCTCTCTGTAATGGTACAAATGAGCTTGAACCTGTATGAGACCTGAGTGGTGATGCAACAAAGCGGTTACGTATGCTAATAAACTTGTTTTATTTTATTGTATTTACATCTGCAGCCCATATAAAAAAGGCATTGATCACTTAAGTGGCACAAGTACAAAACATCTAGCTTCCAAGACTAGGAGTGTTACAAGGAAAATCTGCTGAAAATCCAGTATCACATTAGCTACTGATTTCTTGTGCGATGTCTGATGAGTCTCTCAAATTGTCAGCCAAGAAAAAGTGACGGTTGAAAGTCGCTAGAAGTGCCCTTTAGCTTATGTCTTTGGCAGCTGACACATAAAATCCCCACTGCAATCTACCTTTTGAGAAACGATATATTTTTTTGATCTGCCATAGACCATCTAGTTAAAGACATGGGAAAGAAAACTCCAAGTAAAGAAGAGGTGTAGGGGGCAGAACTAACTGGCAACCTGAGCAGGCTCATAAAGCTGGAGCTCTGGCAAAAAGCTGCTTGAAAAATACTAACATAGCATTACAAAGCTAAATAAATAAAGCAACAATAGCAACTACTTGTATACATAACTATGGGGAAGCACTCCCCTAAGATCCAAGGGCTGAGTGAGAGATATACCCGGGACATCGGCCAGCTTCTTTCCCAAGCCAGCAGGCCCAAGATAGCGGCCTTACTACCTGACTCGGCGCAAGAATCCTTTTCAGCCTCGGAGGACGAAGACCAGCAGTGGTAGGGAAGTGCCCCCTAAATGCACTGAACCCCCCTGGCCACGAAATTGGATCTATCCAGCATGGTTATAGACCTCAAGACCTTCTTCACCTCGGAGATAGCTGTACTGAAAGAAGAGCTAAACTCCCTAACAGACAGAATACAGGCTACAGAGGAAGATGTGCATGATCTAAGGATCAAACAAGACTCCTCTGCAATGCAAATGTTTGAACTATTCACAACCTGTGCACAACTGAGCGCCAGGGTTGGACAAATGGAAAACACAGCCAGGCTCCGCAATCTGAAAATGAGAGGGGTGTCTGCCACCATTGATGCAGCTGAATTACTACAGTATATCAGAAGGCTGATAACCTTTTACCGTCTAAACAAGCCAAGGTTATGGCCCTAGAAGGACTTTTCTGCATACTTGGGCAAGTCCGCAATGCAAACCCCATGCCTAAACATGTCATCATGTGCTTTAAGTTGCAGTTCGACAAGGAAAGTTTCCTGTGATCAGTCAAGGGGTAAACCCCTTATGTGTTTGAGGAACACCAGCTAAGTCTCTGTCAAGACCTCAGCTGCCAAACCCTGAAATGGAGAGCTTCCTTCAAGGGAATAGCCTCCCAACTCCAAACTGCAGACATCCCAAACAAATGGGGTTACCCAAGGGCACTAATCTCACAAAAAGATGGCCACCAAACCCGGCTGACATCACCATCAAAAGCTGCAGTGTTTCTACGATCCATTGGACTTAACGCCACAGCCTGCTCACCACTGGGATGTAGCCAAAGGTAGTCTTTAACCCATTGAGATCCATGGCTGATCTGGCATTACAGACTGCAGTAAACCTCTCTGAAGCACGCCAAGTAACTTCAACACTTCTTTTTTTTCTTTCCCTTTTTTGTTTATATTTACTCAGTTTGTTATTCTGTTTAGTTTAAATTCGTGCAAAATACTATATATTTACATGGGGCTTAACAGAGCTTTTGCTGGTAACCAGAAGCTGCCCTATAGGCACCCTTATTTATAGCCATCTAAAATGTCTGTACAAACTTTATATGTCGTTATGCATGCAAAAAAAAAGAAAAGGTGTAGTAGAAGATTTTGTTTTCCAGAAACTACAAGAGGTCCACAAGCAAATAAAAATATATAAAGTTTTAGGCTATACTGCTGACAGGATAATTAAAGAAAAAAAAAAGCTAAAGACAAGTCTCAGCAAGTACATAGGGCAAGTTAAAATGCCAAAAAATGGATGGAAAGTTAGTATTTTCCCAAGCAAATTGGGGGAAAAATACCCAAGATGCTTGAGTTTTAAGAATAATAAGGAAAGGATATTGTAAGCTTTTTTTCCTACTCTACTTTTTCCCTATGTTTGGTACAAAAAAAAAGCCTTAGAAATGGATGAAACATACTTTTAAAAGGGATTATTCAAAAAAGGCCCTACAAAACAACATTTTCTTTGAAGAAAAATGTAAAAATTGCATTACTTCTGTTTAGCCAATGAACAGAAGTTGTTTACAAAATGTATGGTCATTCTTGACACAGCTTTAAGGGGGAAAATGAATTTTTGTAATTACCTTGATTATTTGTTACTAAAAGAACCAAAAGGAAAAGGTAGGTGAAGGACATCCAGTTGTTACCATTTTCCATTAACAACAAAACAAATCTTTTCCACACACTTCCACTCAAACTCACCACAGCGTACCTCACAGAAATACAAAAACAATTAAACGCATTTATTTGGGGAAAGGTCAAATCCAGAGTAGCAAAATCAATCCTGTATAAATTATTCCCACACGGCGGAATGGGCATGCCAGACATCACAGGATACTATCGAGCTGCACATATAGCCCCCCTACTGTCCGCATTCCATCACCCAAGCCCACTAGCTTCGTCGAGAATTGAAAAAAGCTTTGCAGGAGGAACCCCTCTGACAATATTGGCATGGATACCCAAAAAAACAGAGGACGACTTATAAACATATACTACCTACAACAGCATTAACATTACACCTATGGGATAACTACTGTAAAAAAAAATGAAGATCACAGACAAAACCTCACCTATGAGGCTTTACTCATCTCCGATTTCAACCATAAACTATGGTGCAAGCATGGGATAACTACTCTATCCCGAGTACTATAAGGCCACAGCCTCAAAAATTTCCAAGACCTACAAATGGAATATACCCTCCCCAGCATTGCCCACTTTTCCTACCTGAAATTACAATCCTGGATCCTCATCTCCCTAATATACGCCTCAGAACATTCCTTTACCTGCTTAAATCTACTGCACTTTAAAAGGGCATAGGACCGAGACATAATGAACAGCATGACGGACCAGCAATGGAGAGAAATACTTTCATCCCATAAAACGATGACACTGTGCACATCTCACATAGAACTCTCCCGAAACATTATATACAGATGGTATCTGGTCCCAACACGACTAAAACAAAGCTTTCCAAATACCTCTGACACCTGCTGGAGGTGCCAGAAGGATAGAGGGGACATGATCCACGTATGGTGGCACTGCCCCCAACTTAACAAATACCGGCAGAAGTTGCATGGGGATCAATCTCCCCCTCCGGCCCAAAATGTTCCTCCTCCTATTGTTTCCGAAATCCCTCCAAAAAAGTCACAAATACCTACTATACCATATCATAATAGCAGCCTTTACAATGATCAGCAGACAATGGAAAACTCCCTCCCCTCCTACCATTGACCAATGTATTGCAGCAACAGATGTCAGAAGACAATATGAAAAAATGGCAAGTTGCACCCACCCTCCTGCCAGGTATTGGTCTGTGACATGGGACACATGGGAGACCTTCAGAGCCAAAACCAACACATGTAGTAAATAATACTAAACCAGTTCATCGGTATCAAACATCCAATAGGTGGCAACGCATGTAAAGACAGTTAGGGACAAAACACAACAAAACTATTTTCAGCCCAAGTTTGACACTCTTCCCACTTCCAGAAAGAAGAAACCCAAGTGCACAGGTGCACTCTATTCACCCACTCAATTGAGCAAATGTTTGAGACCCAAGGTTGCCTCTCCCCCCTCCCTTGATCCTCCTCCCTCTACTACAATTAGGTAGCCCTAATCGAACCCACAGTACCAACCATGCTGATGATCATCCCCCTAGATAAGAATGATGACACAAGGCAATTACGAGTGACACCCCCGAATCCTAAGCAGTAACTCCCCCTGCATAACCCACCATTGAATAGGGAACTTTGAATCTTAGAGAAACTGACATTAAATTACTGTAAAAGTCACTATGAAAATCAGCAAACTTGCTCTAACTTTGCCTACAACAATGTAGTATTATATCTCTGTAATAATATGATGTTAATAATATGTACTGTTATACCTTATTAAACCCCTTTCCCCTTCTCTCTTTTTTCTGTACCTTCTCTAAAAATGAAACAATGAAACAATGAAAATTGTCAAATAAAAAAAAATAATAATAAAAATCAGCTATGAAAAAAATCTAAACTTTAACTCTTATGGGGTTAACACTTTGGGATTAACAACAGACTCAAAGCATTTTAAGATTGCATTAACCACTATTACAATGTGCCACATGGAAATCACTTCATTACATCCTATACACAGAGAAAATCAGAATGTTACTATAAAGTCCTTTTTCCCTTGTATTGGCAGTATAATTTGCTTTCCTATCCATTAAACATTGATACTTATGCAGCATTTTTGTGTCTGATATATTTATTGAGGTACGGGATATTGTGTGTAGTTTCCTATGCTGAAGGGGGCATGGAGGTGGTACTTTTAAAGTCTAATCTTACATTTCAGGGATACCTATCTTATTGAGGGCACTAAACCCACTTGCTATTTTGATGTCAATGCTGGGGAAAAAAATGATTTACAGTGAGTTACCATGATCAGAGGCACCAGCTAAGGAAGAGGACCTCTTCTGCACAGAGCTTCTGCCACTGCTATAAATAATTTCAATATTTGGTGGAATTGTTGTTTCTCCCATTGTCAAAGTCAACTACTGCTGTTCTTCCATTGTCCTACCACACTTTGACTGCATCTCATGACATTATTACCGAGTCTGTCTTTCCACACAAGTTGGTTATTACACCTCATAGCAAGATTGACCTTTATTGAGTTTAAAATGGTTTCCAGCATTAACTCTGGAGTGGTGTCCATCCTCCTTCAACCTCCTAATACAACGTGCCATGTTTGGATGCAGCCTTTCTCCAGTGTTCATAGTCCTTGATTCCATATAGGTTGATTCTGTAGTGTAAGGAATACAAACCTGCATTTCTTACATTATAGTTCCCTCTAACCCTCCCTTCCCTCATGGACCCCTCCTCGGTATGGAAAGGTTATTAAAAAAAAAAAAAGATTTTCTTTACTCACCCAATTCCAGAGATGATCTAACTTGGTGCAGGGACGGAGCTTCACCTCCTCCGAGATGGGGGCTAATGTGCATGTGCAGCGAGTGCATTTGGCCCTCCCCATAGAAAAGCATTGCTTCAATGCTTTCCTATGGGGATTTTACGGATGCTGGATGTCCTCATGCAGAGCCACCAGGAAGTGCCTCAAAAGGCTGTCTGATTTACAGCCACTAGAGGCAGTCTTAGTCCTGCAATGTATTTATTGCAATTTATCTAAAACTGCAATGATTTACATGGCAGGACTTAGGGAGACAGGGACACTGCACACAGAGCACTTCAGAGAGCTGAAGTAAACTGGGTGCTTATAGTGTCCCTTTAAATGTCTAATCTTACATTTCAAGGATACCTGTCCTATTTAAGGATCTAAACTCACTTGTTATACTAATGTCAATAGTAGGGGAAAACAATTTACAGATGGTAACATGTCTTTGTTCTCATTATGCTCAGGCAGTCTTTGTGATGTTTAAGCAGTATACAAATGTTAGTAATGCAGAGTGTGCCAACACAGTAATAGCAAGAGAATAATCTGGTAAGGGAGTGGCTGGGTATTCAAGAAATGTGAACGATTGTAGAAGACTAAAAAAAATGATATAATGGGGCTTGTATTGGATAATATTGAATGATCTAGATTGAAGTTGTTAATAGAAGCGTTATGATTATACTGAGGAAATGTGATACTATTGCAAATTTTCATATAGTCTAGTTAGATGTGCCCCCCTATTTTTGTCAAGCATAACATAGTCCTTTACTCCATACAGGTTGGACAGCACTGATAGGGTTGCAAAATATATTTTTTATATAATTCAATTTCTAATAATCATAGAAAAAGTATTCTTGCACTGTAAGTTCCTTGCAGAATGAAATATATGGCATAATGATTTTTTTTAATTTTTCTACAATTTTCACTTCGTATAGTCCCTAATTAAACAGTCAAATATATGTTTCCTGTATCTGCTTATATTTCACGTTTTACAAATGTTTTACTAAAGGATCTGAAAGAAACAATTTCTTTTACACAGGTTATCTATCTTGGAAGGACATGAATTAAAGTCATCCTTGCTCCCTTAATTTAAAAACTGTCAAAAGCAAACATTACTTTGTCACATTCACCAATCAATTCAGATTTCTGCAAGGAATAACAAGTTTGCCATAATAAAAGAAACAAGTATTTTCTAAAGAGATTCGAGTCTGATAGCCGATTGCTTGTACAATTCAAAATAAATCTCTCATAGCAGATGATTAACAAAGTGGGACCCTGATGTCCTAACCCATTTTAAACATTGATTCTGGCTCTACAATAGCAGGAGAAATGAGAATGACTAGAAGACTTGTTATAGAATATATAGTCAAGGAGCTACAACTTTAAATGCTTAGTAAATTAATCTAACAAAGGATCTTAAATTAATGTGTGTTCAATGTAACATTTAATCAGTTCAATCTGATTTAAAAGGTTGGATGTTTAATAACAAAACTTTAAATCTAGACAAACTGTTCTTTCTACCATTGCCAATGCCCACTGCTGCTGTTCCGCTCTCATTATTAACTAGTCTGTCTTTTCACATAAGCAGGGTATTATTCTTTACAGCCAGAGTAAATTACTCTTTATAGCCATTCTTTTTATTCTTAAATCACTAATGGTGGCCAGAAATACATTCTGGAGTGGTGTCCATTATGTAATGCATGCAACCTTTCAATACCTCCTTCAAGTTTCTTGTAAAACCTGCCACGTCTGGATGCAACCTCTCTCCAGGTTCAATCATATGGCCCTGCCTGGCACTTACCTCCAGCCCTCCTCGCTGCTGAGCAACGGATCACACTGCACAGTTGAAAGGTGCTCCAGTCGCGCCTTCTGACTCTGAGAAGGGGAGGCCCATCTAGTTGATCGGCCCAAACAAACATAGCTGCATGTTTAAACTAAACGTGCACCCACCAAACCAAATGCTTCTTAACCGGGGAGGAACTGTTCTTTAAAGGAGAAGCACCAAGGAGCCCTGTGGCTGTCCAAGCACAGATTTTCCAATGTAGTGCAATGAGAAGTATTTGCAAGGTAGATGCTCTGGGTAATTGCTGTTGCTTTAGACCAGCTTAACTGAGCTAACCATAATCAGGAAGTAACTGGACCTGTAACATACTTGAAAGCCAGGGGGTTGTAACCAAGTTAATTTACACAAGTGTCAATTTCTATTAAAATCTGCACTTTTTGGCAGGGTCGGAGCCTGTACTCGAGCTGAATGGCCGCGTGAGAAAGGAGCTACCGAGCCAGCGGCTAAATAAAGCACTCTACAAGTGGCTAAACAGCACAAAATCACCCCAAACAGAAGGACTTACACAATGTCCCAACGGGGAGCCAGAAAAACGGTGGAGGGCCAAGAAAATCTAGAGGGACCTCTATACTCATCAGCAAATATCTGACAGTGATCTCACACGACCAAATAATAGATCCAGGGGGAAGGTACATCATATGGCAATGCACCATCAATGACCTAGACTACACACTAGTGAATATATATTCCCCAAATACCAACCAGAGGAACTTCCTACACGGGGTCCTCACCAAAATGGAAAAAGTGAGGAAAGGCACCCTAGTGTTAGGTGGGGACATTAATCACGTATTAGATCCAGTAATAGACTCAACCAGGTCCACTTCGTCACCACAATACAAAACCCTTAAAAAAAACGGCAAAATCCTCAGGACTCTACTGACCTTGTTTGTATTACGAGATGTGTGGAGAGCCCTCCACCCATCGGAAAGAGCATACACACACCACCTAAAAGTACATAACACATACTCCAGAATCGACGGATGCTTCATGCACGAATCCACTTTGGGCAGAATACTAGACTGTGACATCATGACAGTTGACTGTTCAGACCACGCACCACTGATACTAACATTAGGGACTCAAATGAATATAAACACAGGAGCCCCTGGTGTCTCAATGAGTATCTAATCAAAAATACACAATACTGCGCATCTCTGGAAAAATAACTACAACACTACTTCACCACCAACACCACAATTGACCAGAACCCACACATGCTTTGGTTAGCTCACAAGGCAGTGATAAGAGGTTCACTCATAAGCAGGGCCTCATACCTAAAGAAACAAACCAAAAAAGAAACCACAGTATACAAACAGCAGCTAGACAGTTTGCACAAAGAAAA